CTCTAGTTTATTCTTGCAGTTTTAAACACAGCAGCAAAAATTCCAGCTATGATTCTATTACTATATTTCCTGAAATTACCAGTGGTCCAAGCTGGTAGGTAAAGCTCAGGGAAGATAACAGCAGTGAAATGATCAAAGAACACTAAGTATGAGACACAGCACAATGTCCAAGACAGGAGACTATGTATGAAAGACGAAAGGTTAGCTCCCAAATATCCTTTTTCTCCAGCCTCAGCTCCAGACAGGGCTGACACACTGCATATAGGCTACACACTAGGGGACAGACAGATGGAAAGATATTCAAACTGCTGGAAAGTACCAAAATTCCTTTCTTCCTTCTACGAATAGTTTTATTTTATTCATGACCAGTTATTCATATGCCTTCAAATGAAGACAAAACACAGAGAAATATAAGGAACAAGAGAACAACCTCAGAAAAACAGAAGTTATTCTTACAGCTGTTACAACAGGTCAACTTGATAATAATGTGGCATTCTCTATAAGGGTTTTTTGGGTGATGGGCCAAGTCTTCCTTCCCTAGAGGGGCTGAGAAGCTGAAAGGAAGTCAAAGCAGCACAAAATTCCTAGCTAAAATCAACAGGCAGTTAGGATTGTCCTGTCCCTGATCAAAAGGGACCAAAAAAGGCAGGGTTGCAGGTTCTTCCCTCATCCACATACACTAGGCATCTCTCTTTAAATGAGCAACTGTAATTACAATAGGCCAATTCATCCACCACTACCCACCCCCAAAAAAGGGTCAATTACACCACCTGCCATTCCACCATTATGGCTTAATCCTTTTGGATCCAGGGTTCCCCATCTTCAAGCTCCTCAAGTCTTTTTTGGAATTTAAATATTCCTGGGAAGGATAACAACTTAAAATTTAAATCACCTAATATTCTAGCAAGGACTAGTGGCCAGTATTCAAAGTCAGCAAGGAGAGTAAAAACAAGACAGGCTACAAGTGGGGAAAGAACACTAACAAAGAGATAAAACATGCATACAAGACAAACTTCGACTCCTATAATCTGCTGAGGTTCAATTCTGGCAGTTCCCCTGCCCCTCAAAATCATACCCTGTACCAAGATTGTCAACTAACTCCTGGCATCATGATGATCAAACTTGTCAAAATGATATCGCAAAGTAGTTTTCCCCACATGGTCCTCGATTATACTCTTACCTAGTAAAATGTGATGTCAGATAATGGAAAAAGTTCATAGAAAGAAACTTAGAACACCTTTCATTAAACTCTTACATGAATACCCTCTACCTATTCATTAAAGAAATCAGAGAAGCTATGGTATTGAAACTCCTAGTAAGCAAAATACCCTTTATTCTTAAGGACTTACACACACAATTAATAATATCTGGCAATGCAGAATTATGACATATATAATTTGTATATATAGCTACATCCCTATTAATTCCAATTGTATAAATTAGTGATGAAATCACAGGATATTATGAAATACTGAGCATTTATGTTTCCTATTTTCAAAGCTTTGTAACTGCAAGTTATTTAATTGAATTCCTTTGCATAACATTAGGCCAACAAAATCAATTCTCATGGTAAAGGGAAAAGCCTTAGATCCAATTCTAGACAACTGCACAAGGTTAAAAGGCTTTATAAACAATTAATATGGGTAGAAAACTTTTCAAATTTATCTTAAGACTGTTAAGTTACATACATCTGCAAATATAAAAACTGACACGTCATCCACCTCAATAATATAATCCAGCACTTAACAGGAAAGGGAGAAAAGGAACAGATCAGTATACCTAAAATATATCTTGATGTGATAATCAGAAATCAAGTTCTGAAAGTTCAACATCATATTCCTATTTCCTCCAAAGAATTACTGAGAAACAAAATGACCAAAAGCATATCAAAGAAAAAATGAACCCAACTCCTAAATAACCCACTAAACTAAACTAGAAAAATCTGCACTGGAAAAAAAAATCAGGATTTTTGCTACATCTCCAGATAACTTACCAAGGTCTCATCAAGTTCCTGATTGCTATTCATTCATTGTGATGTGGTATAGTGGAAAGGGCACTGGGCTTAGAGCCTCAGTCAGGGTTCTAGCTCTAGTTTCTGACGCTAATTGACCACGTGATCTTCAAGTCATTTCATTTTCCCAGCCTCATTTTTCTCATCTGCAAAACAAGGATGCTGGTCTGGATGACTAAGAACCTAAGAGATATTCTTCAGTCAAGAAGCCTTAGATCGGGAGTCAGAGGATCTGAATTCAAGTTGTGGCTCCACTACTTACTATCCATGAGATGGGACAAGTCAATTCACCACTCACTTACCTTATCTCTAAAATGGAGTAGACTATACAGTCTCTAAGACACCTAAAAAATCATTAGCTTCTTCAGAGCAGGGACCAGTTTGGGTTTTTTTGTTTTTGTTTTTTGCCTTTCTTTGTATCCACAGTCCTTAGCACAATGCCTAGTAAATAGCAGGTGTTTAGTAAATGCTAGTTGACTATTGGTAATTTCTACCCTTGTACTGTGTAATATCATGGGATACTTTCCCATCTTTAGCCACGGGAAAGAAAAAATGTGTAGGCTGTACGTTAAGTGTTACTGAGGACTAAGGAATCTGCCTACCAGAGCATCTCAAAAGCTACTGTATGGTACAGGAGGGAAGCAAATAATAGCACCCAGATGCAACAACAGTTGGCTGATGCTCGTTTACTTTTATCTGTGACAAAAGATTTGGCTCACAGCGTAACAGACTCTCAATGTATTCTCACTGTAGATTCCCTCCTCTACCAAGAAAAACACTAGAAAAGACCACTATACAAAAGTTCACCATACTGTATACCTAAGCTGTGTCTGAAGCTAATCAGCCTCAACTTCACAGACAGTTTGGTTCACTCAACTAATCAAATCTATTCCTTTGTTTATGTAAGTATGTGCACACATACACCCATATATACAGAGAAACATACACACATTCATACACATACACATATACATATACACATGAGCAGAAGAGTTATCAGACATCCCTCATTTGCCTGCCCAAGGTCATATAACAATAAAAGCAGATTTTCTGACTTTCAGGCCCTAGTTCTTTCCAATTAAACTAAATTTGCATGTCTTTACCATGGATCCAATCTTAGTTCATACATTCACAGATTTTGCACTGGAAGGAACCTTATGGGGTCATCAGATCAGATCCCCAAATTACAAAGGAAGAAATGTCCCAGAGCAGTGAAGAGATTTGCTCAAGGTAATAAGTAGCAGAGTCAGGTTTAAACTTGATCCTTTGATTCAGCCTCAGGAAGTCATACTTTACTCATTCACTCACTTGCAATCAACTGCTAATTCCACCTCCAAAAAACGTCTCTCCTTTCCACTTGGTCCCCTGAGTTCAATCCTTTCTCTTCTCTCCTAGGCTAGCCTCCCATTAGTTCTCTACATCAAGCCTCTCTCTAGTACAACTGATATTCCACAGAGCTGCCAAATTGATAGTCCTAAAGCATATGTCTGATAACTCTTCTGCTTAATAAACTTTAATGGCTCTCTATTCTCTCTTATATAAAATACAAACTCCTCTGCTTGGCATTTAAAGTTCTTCACAATCCGGCTCCGGAACTACCCTTCCATGTATTGCACATTACTTTCCTTTCAACATCATCTATACCCATCAGACTGGCCTACTTGTTCCTGTTTAAGCTAATCTACCCCTACCCTCCTTTTACAGGACATTTCATATCCAGTTTCCATTCTTTGCACCAGCCCCAAAAAAGCAATTAATTCCTCCTCACCTCCACTTCTTAGATTCCTTAGCTTCCTTCAAGTCTCAGTTCAATCGCCACCACTAATTTCTACCTCTTTTAATATATACATAGTTTGTTGTTGTTGTTGTTGTTCAGTCCTGTCCAACACTACCTGACCCCATTTGGGGTTTTCTTAGCAAAGATACTGGAGTGGTTTGCAATTTCCTTCTCCAGTTCATTTTACATTTGAAGAAACTGAGGCAAACAGGGTTAAGTCACTTACTCAGGGTCACACAACTAATGTCTGAGGTTGGATTTGAACTCGGAAAGATAAAGTCTTCCGGAATCCTGACCTGACACTTAGCTGCCCCGTACACGCAGTTAGTATTTATTTATTTGTGTATATGTTATTTTCCATCAAATGAATGGGAGTAAGTTTCTTGAGGATGAAGACTGCTCCTTGGCTTTGATTTATCAGTGCCAAGAATAGTTCCTGGCATAAGGTAAAAACAATGTTTTTTGAGCGAAAGTCTCCACATCTTTCCCCTTCACCACACTGCCTCATCTATCTAACACACACCGTCTTCCACAGCAGGAAAATGATGACTACACAACCTGCTGGTGGCTAAACCAGCCTGAGATTAGGTCTCGGAGCGTCGGTCACGCTGGGGGGCCTCTGGTCACAAGCGCCAACTTGACTCGCGGGCGCGCACGCCGCTTTTGGCACTGGTGTGAACACTTCTGCGTACTGGGTCAGGTGTATACGTATGTCAAGTTAGGAAAAACTTGTCTAATACGTTTCCCCAAGTCTGCGAGGTTTTCATCTTGCAGCGCTGCAGCCGGGTCCACAGCAATGTCTCCCCCACGTTTGCGAGCTTTTATGTGTTAACGCTGCAGCTACGAGAGACCGTTCGTAGAGCTTGTAGAAAGAACACGACGTCTTTAAAGAAATATAATAAATGCTTTCAAAAACGTGTCTTTTGAAACTTTAGGGCTTCGCTAGATTTCTAAAGTAGGAAACAGCACCTAGCTCTCCGCCCTCGCTCGCTCCAGTCACCTGACGGCGCCGTCCCCACCCCCGACCCTCTCGGCTCCTGCCGACGCCTGCCGGGCAGGGCTGAGGACCCCAGGCCGGGATCCCGGGAGCCCCCCGCCCAGCCCCGGGGCGACGCCGCCGGAGGAGCTCGGCTGCGCCTCCTGCCCGCACCCCGGGCAGCGGCTCCCGGGCCGTGAGATCATCCCCAGCCCCGGCCCCGGCCATGCACTTACTGCTCTCCCGAGTAGCCCCGGCCGGGGCAGGGGCCCGGGTCCCCCGGGACGGCCGGCCCTAACGCCGACTCCTGCCGCTCCGCTGCTTTCCCACGGCCTAGGGGGGCGGGCTCCGCCTCCAAGCTGGACCCCTCCGGGCCGCCTGCCCCCGGCCACCCCCCGGGCTGGGGCATCGCTCCCTGACTCATAGAGAGCCCCGAAACGAGCCGGGAGCCCCCGGCAGGAACGGAGACCGGGCTCCTCCGGCGCGAGCGGCTGCCCAGAGGCGAGGAGAAGCTGCCATAAGCGCCGCACGCGCGGCCGCGGCGCGGAAGGGGTTAAGCCCGCTCGGTCCGGACCCCTCCCGCCCCAGCAGGAGCTCCGGACCTCGGCCCCCGCTCGGCTTGAGTGGCCGCAGCGACCCGCTCCACAGACGCTTCCGTGCGCCGCGAGGAGCGTCGCGTCACGGCACGCTGCGTCCCGGCGCGGAGCGCTAGCCCCGCCCCGGAGCCTCTGACCCGGAGGGGGCGGGGGAGGGAAGCGGCGCTGCGCCTGTGCCCGCCTCGGTGCACGCGCTTCCGGCTTGGATCCCCGAGCCGAGCTCCAGACCATTGAGCGCATGCTCGTGAAACTCCGGCGGAGTTTCCTGGGGCAACGCTACTTCCATTGGCTGTGGGAGAACGGGAGGGAGGGAGTGCGGGAGCTAGAGGAGCAGAGGCTTGTTGCAGTCTGCCGCGCGCGTATGTCTCCCTGGTTGGGAGTTTAGCCAGGTGCCAAGTCACTGAGCTCCTTTCGCCAGAAAGTAAGCATGCTTTGGTTGTGACAGCAACTCACATAACCAGGGAACAGAGTTTTTGACTGAGGATCAAGTATACAGTGTCCTTTACCTCTCTAGAATACAACTGCCTGTTTACTTTTACACTGATCAAATATTTGTTTCAGTTCTAGTGGAAAGTGCTTGTTGGTACTGTAGTCAGAGGAGATGCGAACTCAACCCCGTCTGAGATGCTTAATTAGTACTGGGATTTCCAATGTGAGTTTTGCAACTGACTTTGAGTAAATCACTTTTTTCGTCTCTATCAATAAACACTGGTCAGTAAACATTTACTAAAGTCCTACTATGTGCTATGCACTGGCCTCATTTTTGTTATCTGTAAAAATGAATGAGTTGGAGTTATTAAATATATAATCCTAAAATTCAGCTCTTAAAAGTATCAGTAAGCACTTATTAATTGCCTACTGTGTGGCAAGCACAGTGCTGAGTTCTGGGTAAAATAATTACAAAAGCAAGATGATCTCTGCCCATAAGGGGAAATAAATGCTAAAGAAACTTAAGGAGAAAATGTCTCAATGTTTAGGAAAAAATGGAAAAGGGCAAAAGATGAGATCTTGTTTTTGAATGAATGTGAGATATTCTTTTCACAAAAGAACCAGAAAAAAATACATCATTCAAAAATGTAACTATAAAAGATGCTAATGTTGATAGAAACAGCCAGGTATCTCAAACTTAACATATGGGGAAAAAAAGCTTGTATTTTTCCCTAAAAACTGCCTTTTGCCTTTCTATGTATTTCCAGTGCGTATTAGCATAGTGCCTGGTACATAGTAGGAGCTTAATAAATGCTTATAGATAATTGACTCTCCACTTACACAGCAACATCTCTGGATCTCATCTCCCATCACCAGGGCTTTCGAATTAGGCTCCTAATTGGTCTCCCTACCTCAAATCTCTCTCCATTTTAATCTGTCTTTCACATAGCTGCCAAAGTGATATGAGTTCAATTCTCATCTTTACACTTAGTTATGTGGTCAGGAAAAATCACTCCAAGCTCTCTGAGCTTCAGTTTCCTCACCCATTAATTGATTACTGTTCCCAGAACAAGATAGATGATTTGGGGGTGGAAAGTGAAGGAGCCTTGTAAGGAAGGATATGGTGGGTTAAGTAGATTAGTTTGCATTTAGTCTTCAGTCTAGAGAGCTAGACCTTAGAGTCCTTAGGAATCTTAGGTCAAAGATTGGATTACCTCAATCCATTCTGTAATTCCAGGGCTGCTGTGAAGGTCCTAGTCCAATGTGGAGAGTAAGAGAAGCAGACTTGCAACAGCAGGCAGAAGGCATAATTTCTTGGGTGTGTGGTTGTGATGGGGTGCTTGGGTGCTTGTGCTTGTACTTGGACCCCAAATTCTCCCTAGTCTCAGAAATACTGTCTCTGGCAGTTTCTTCTCAGCCCAAGGACACTGTGCACAGCAATTAGTCGTGAGTGGGCCCCAGCAAGACCCTTATCTCTCTCCCTGGTGCAGTTACAAACAGCACCTGAAGGAATTATTAGTTTGAACTGTCTTTGCACTGGTTCATAAAGATATTCTTACCCACTGGACTATCTATACTACTGCCCTACCTCATTATCTACATCCTGGACTCCTCATTATCTGTATTCTGGACCTAAGACATAGGGATACATCTGTCTTGTCAAACAAGACATTGACTGGGGCAGACTGGGCAACTCTCAGTTACCCCTGACCTCTAGTTAACTTAGTGACATAGAAGGCCTAAAACCACACCTCCGTGTGGTCCCCCTTGTGGACTTTTCTTAGTGAACTCTGGGTAAAATGCCTGCAAAGTAGGTACAAGAAGTGCAAGTTCCTTTAAGAACTGACCGCTCCTTAACCACTCCCTAATCCCACCCTGAATCATCTAGTTAGCATATTTGACACATGTTTTATTATATTTTATCCTACATAAACTTTAACTGTACCCCTCTAAGGTCACAGGCTCCTTAAAAATCCTTGCCCCATGAAAAGTATAACATTAAGCTTTTTGCCAACTTGACTCAAAGAATGCTTGAGTCTGTGAATTCATTCCAGACGACCCGGTCTTGTACTCCAGTCTTTGAGCGGTCTCAGCCTCTCAGATGGCAACATTTAGATGACTAAGGAGGTTATGAAGGTGAAATGTGGTCTAGCCATCTGGTAACTAAAGCAGGGTTAAGTGAGGTAGTCTGTACTCACCTACTCACCTAGAAGATTAAAACTGTGGCCAAAGCTTCAAAGAGTGTTTTATAGTTGCATTGTATGGACCTTTAATTTATGTACTTTTTTTTTTAAATCAGGGAGAACAGAGCTTCCCATAGCAACTTTCATCTAAAGAATGGGATTCTTCTGCTCTGAAGAACTGTCTATTCTTGTGTCTTTTATATTTCCCTCTTCTTTACTTTTATTGGTTGGTCATCAGCTAGGAGAGGATTAGTACTAATGTGGTACATAGAGGATCTGATCATGCCATTTAGGACTAATCCTTCCCTGAACCTCACAAGCATGTATGTGCATAAATATGAAGTTAAGTGCCACAGTATACTTGCTGTGTATCTTTGCTGTGTTTGGATAGAGTAAACTTCCTTTGTCCAATGAATGACTCACAAGTGCCTAATTTCTTCCCAATGTACTAAGAGGGTGTTGCTAGCTTTAGAGCCGAGCCTACAACGTTTGGTAGTCTTAGTAGTTTGGGCTGAAGAGGAGGGTCTTCTGATCAGATTCTGGTGGGAGGAGGTGGTCTGCCTGGCTCCTTGTTGACAGGTCCCTCCTGATCTTATATGAGTAATCCTCTCTGTGGAACTAGGAAGCAGATGGATTAGTTTGGTGGGTGCTAAAGGAAACTTCAAAGGAGGATTAAAAAAAGTGCCACGGCCAGCATTTCCTAGAGGTTGTTGACTACTCTTTTGGAGTTGATTTGCCAAGGTAGTTAGACTGATAGTAAATTGGGCGTTTGCATTCAGTAGCTACAGACATGAAAAACAAAGGGGCCGTTAATGGAGATGGGGCTATGCAAATGAAGAGTTTGCTCTGGTTGGGGAATGGAAGAGGGGAATGAAGCACCCTTGCCCAACAGGCAAGGTTATCTTCCGGAGCCAGGGGAAAACTCTGAAGACCTACTTTTATTGACCCAAGACAATTTGTTAGAGCTTCCGGAGGGAATATTCTCTCTGTCCATTTTTAGGTGACTGAGACGGTGGCTGTGTGTGCCTGGCTTTGTAGTCAGCTATGAAATGGGGATCTGCAAGAGACGGGGTGAAGTTCCTAACGTGAATGGATTTGATAGGTTTATGTGACTCCGCTATGGCCTGCCCAGCCTGTCTCTGGAGCAATAAGAGACAGGTGAAGCCCCACCAAAATGAAAGTAAATTAGGCCTGTGTAATCACCAGAATGGCTTCAAACTTTAGCTATGGGTCTCCCCATCACACTATCCTATAAGTGTGGGCTTATCAATTGTTGATAATTGAGCAGGAAGTCAGGACCGTTATGACTTGGGCAAATACTATTTGTCTATTTGTCCGTGCAAATAGACATTCTGGGATTGGGAGAGAAATCATAGAACCTGCCACTGCCCTGCTAGATAGGCAGAAGGGAATGATACCATTTCCACCCAGTAGCTTTTGATGTGGTGTCTAGTTCTTGGGATTGATAAGAAAGCAATTGATGGACAGACTATGAGGGTGCTGTACCCAGAAATTAAGCACCTAGGCACTAGGGTCCCTTGGGCACTAGGATCCCTTCAGCTCCACCTAAGCCTGAAGTATCCTCCAAAACCCCTGCCCCATATGGATCATTCATAGGAGGCTATAGAGGGCATTCCATGGAGAGAAGGGGGTATTATGGATTCAGTATTTGTGCATACCCTTTCAGCAACTTCTCGGCCTGTTACTGTGGGTAGGGCTAAATGGAAATCCTTAATTACCTGAACAATCCCATGTTAACACCAAACTATCAACTGGGGAGTTGGGGAGGGAGGAGTGGTAAAAGATATTTCTTCTCTAGTGATGGAGATGAAGGAAGCTGGAGTATTACCTTATGCCAGATCCCTTACAACAGCCCTCTGTTTCCTGTGAGGAAGGCAGAGATAGGACCTGGCAGCTAGGTGGCACAGTGCATAGAGTGCCAGGCCTGGAGTCAGGAAGATTTATCTTCCTCAGTTCAAATCAGGCCTCAGACACATATTAGCTGTGTGACACTGGGCAAGTCACTTAACCCTCTTTGCCTCAGTTTCCTCATCTGTTAAATGAACTGGTAAAGGAAATGGCGAAGCACTCCAGGATCTTTGCCAAGAAAAACCTCAAATGGGGTCATGAAGAGTTGGACATGACTGAAAATGACTGAACAACAACAAAAGCTTACCGTGGACTATAGGGAGCTGAACAAAGTCATCAAGCATACTTCTTTACCTGTTCCTAACCTTGACAATGTTGTAAACTAGGTAGTGAA